AAAAATGAGCCTCTGACTCTCCGAGCTCATGGTGAAGTATAAATAATTGATGAGCATCACTCATTAAGTTTGCCTAAACGTTACATTCACTGTAGTTTTCTCAGACGTAGGCGGAAAAAAATAGAAATAAGCCATCTAAGTCGGTTAAGAAAGCTTCTTCAAAGAGCACATTTAATATCAGTTTTCGGAGAAAGCAGCACTTTAGTATTCGAAAAAACCAAAATCGGAGTAAATCATCCCTAAGGTTTCTGCAAAATGAGGAGTAAATCGTCCCTATCTTTTCTCAAATTACGAGTAAACCGTTCTTAATTTTGTTCAAAATCGGAGTAAATCACTCTCCGAGTTTCTCCAAAATTGGAAGTAAAGGGCCCATGATTTCCTCCAAAACGGGAGTAAATGGGTCTTGATTTTGTTCAAAATCGGAGTAAATCACTGAGTTTCTCCGAAATGAGAGTAAATCGTTCTTATCTTTTTCCAAATTTGGGAGTAAATCGTTCGTATTTTTGTCACAAATTGGGAGTAAATTTAACCAAATTTTTTAAAAAAGTATGGGAGATAATCCCCCCGGTCGAACCGCCACTGGCGTTTCTGCAGTAAATTCTTTTTGTTTGTAATAAGTAGTAATAATTCTTCTGTTATGATATTACTTTTATCTTTCAGTCTGTGAAAATTTCTCCATTTCACTAACGATTTTCACTTTTCCGTTCTACAGTGATTTACTACTATTTTGTATAATACGAGCGACATAGTTTCCCTAAGAACACGAAATAAAGTTGATCATCTGACCCTGTCCCCTTCGTATTGAAAAAAATTTCTGTTATATTTCATATCTAAAACAATGAGTGAAGGAAATAAGTCGTGCTCATTTTATGCTTATGCTCGTCAGCGCTGCTTTAGCCCTTATTGTTATTATTTTTATTATTATTATCACACTTATAATATCGTATGAATATACTTTATATACTGCTTAATACAGAATCTAAAAGAAAACAAGCAACAACGATTAAACAAATACCGTGATACTTAATGTGCCGGCAGATTGGAATAAGGAAGTAAGCAATAACCCAACATTCAAAAACGATCATTTAATCATCTCCGAATTACATAAAACTTCTGACAACAAATGTTTGTCATGAGTAAATAGTATCACAACGCAGAAACACAAAATTTGTTCTACTGTTATTATGCTGTATTCAAATGAACTGAAGTCTAATAACGCATAATATCGATCGATATATTTATGTGCAACATGCGCTAATGTATCATTTCTGGTTGTTCGAATAACGTCATCTGTACAACACAATTTCTTAACAAATGCATAGCTGACGTTTTTAAAGATGAAATACCACACAATCACCGCATAACTGTACGCATTTTTCACGGATACATTTACGAACGATGAGTCAAAAATCTTTTGAGAAACGAATAAATTATCCACTGTTAATTGCTCTTTGTCGTTGTAAAGTGAATCTCGTAGTAAATAGGAGTTAAACAGTTGCTGTGGTATTCGAATGTTGCTCCTTCTGAGTTTCTTCAAAACTCCAAGAAATGATTCGTCACCAAAGCAGCCCGTGGAATAGAGAGATCCATGCTTTCGAACTTGATCTGGTAGATATTTGTGCGCACGGAGCGAGTATAACTCAGATCTGCGTCCGTAAACAGATAAACATTCTTTACGGTAGCATTGTAATAATGGTTCGATTTCATCAATGTCCTCGATTTGATCTTAATAATGCATATCTCGAATGGATACAAAATACAATAAGAAATGGGAAAATATCGCACTAGGTCCATGCAGCAAAATCATTGGAAATGCAACGTATAACAATAAGAATCGGTATTCTTTTGACTTCCACCATTTCAATTGCGTAAATTCTTCGATCCACTTATTTAACAAAAACGCCATATGTCCGCTAGAAAATAAAATAACAGTCGTTTTTTTCAATCACATTACCTTTTATATCTTGTCTTCTCACTGGAGAAAATACAACACGTAACACGCAGACGTATCACCTATCAGTGGGTCAATTGATTCATGACAAAAAACACATACCGTTTCATATATGAAATCTTCTCTTTTTCGAAGAAAATTGACAATACACAATCTTTTTAATTTATGACCATTTGGTAATAAATAGAACAAGAGTGATATCAATAACAAAACTTGCGTGAATGCCAAATTATATTTGACTACGAAGGTTCTAATCGCTTTATAACTTTCACGCAAAGTTAATATCCCACCTTCATATAAAACATCATTTTCATTTTCCAGTGCTGCTTCTTGTTCATCTAAGTCAGACAATATTGTATCTGTATCACTATTACCATCATCGTTAGTTGAGGTATTACGATCGTCGGTGTTTACATCAGTATCTTCGAAATATTTCTCCGTTTCAGACTCTTCGTCATAACGGGTATTCTTTATCTGATTTTCAACTTCCATTGCGTTCTCATCTTCTGAGATACAGCTGTTATTAGAACCTTGAACATTTTCATCTATCGTTGTTTCCCATTCTGGCGACTGTTGTTTTTCTTTGCGAAAATTTTGCACATTTTGACGATATCTTTGCTGTTTTATAGCGTTAGTTAGTAAATCCATATATTAAATAAATTCTTTCTCGAAACAATAGTCAAATGAGAATTGGATTTCGTCTTATGCGTTCATGTGCAAGATAAAAAAACAACTCATAGATCTGCAATAAGAAAATAAATTGATATAGAAAACGTTATTTTGCACATGTTAAATAAAAGTAAAACTGTAATAAAAATTCAAAAATATAAAATATTCTAAATGATAATAAAAAGGATAAAAAGAAGAGAAAATTGTTTTTACAAAAAAAACTAGTTGTCGTTTATTGTGGAATGTACATATGTACAACTCGAGAAAATCTTGACTGGTTACATCTATGTATTACATTACTATCTTTTAATTTGTCTTATATTTGTTGAAAATGACTATAAAAGTCCAAAATTGCAAATAAGAAAGCAAATGTTTAAAGCAGCAATCCAAGGGCAATAAGCAGTTACTGCCATGTGAAGAATCATATTACGTAATAGTGTATTTTCTTATATTGAAGAAAAAAAACGAACAATGTTTAATTGTATCACTGTAAAAAGTTATTATTGTTTATATCGACATAGAGATCCATCATATTGTTACCAAATTGATCGATGCAATTGTAAACAAAATAGGAAACGTCATTAGGCAGATGATATTTAGGTACAACTAAACTGTAGATAAAATCACACGACGAATTCCATACATCGGTTGTCCAATCGTCTGGTGACTTAGACGAGATATTACAAGTGACAGTATTCGGAAACGGAGCGAGTTGAATGTAATACAAACTGTTCAAACTACCAGCAGTGCAATAAAGATCAAAGTTATCGGGAATCTTTTCATAGAGTAAGACTTGATGAAATTTTGAAATGAAAATGAGAATAATTAACCACAACATGTTAAGAATCTTTGCTAGAAAATGAGAAATTTCAGCTTCAAATTTCAGTTCTTGCACAAAATTGCAAAACTTCAATTTATTTGTGCTTTAATCAACTTATTTCAAATATATGACGTTAAAGAAATAAAAAGATCTAAAACAAGTTCATACTTACGTATGTTCAACGTATTTTCTTGGTAGGAAAACAACAACGACTTGTGTTTTTTTGACAACGACATTCAATTTTCCATCAAGTTATCACGAACAATTTCCATAAGTGTAACTACAGCGCAAGAAGAAGAAAAACTATTACAAGCATTAACAATTGTCTGTTTGCGAAAGAAAACTATTGTAACAACAAATTATAAACTCTTCAAGCCATGTTTCTATAACATTTTCATAGTTCATTTTGCATATTTTATAACTGAATAAAATAGTTCAAAGGAATTAATCGCAATAAAGATGTTTTTTATACTTTTAGATCAAAAAAATTATGTTGTACAACAATATTTGCGTTTTCGTCTTATCAATCTTAAGAATTATTTCCTAGAATATGTTTGAAGACGCATGTATAGAATTCAAGACGACCTATTGAAGCTTAACATTCGAAGTGTATTCTTGGCGAATTGCGTATGGGACTGGAAAGTCCGACTCGATTTTCAGTCGGTGTATCTCATAAGTAATTTCTGCACGAATACATTTCGAGTGTTAATTTTTATTAGGTAATCTTGAAGCTATACATCGCTCTTCAAGACAAATTCTAGAAAACAATTCTTAGGCTTGAAATAGTCGATTAGTAGTGCTAACTCTCAGTCTCGATAAGCTCATGTCTGCTGTAATGCTGTTGGAGAAGTGAGAAGAATCAAAAGAATTCTCAAACTGATTTGTCGAACTTACAGCCTCTTAAGTATATCTCAGAATGCTACCGCTTTAGTCACTTCCTAAGTATACAAGCAAGAGGGTGCGAGACTCGATTCAGATCTTATCAAAATACGCTAATATCTAACTTAGTTAAGACAAAGAGAGAACGACTGCAGAAATAAAAAATCAGGAAGTGCTTAACAGTCTTAAAGTATTTTATTAGACCTGATTCATCTCTTTAAAAGCTTTTGGTCTTAAAGTTAGAAAAAGACGAGAAGAAAACTGTCTTTAGTAAAAGACAAGATAATTAACTCAAACATCGATTGAGGAACAGATAGAAAACTAGTCTGAAACATAACAAAAAGCTCCCGTTTTATACTGAACAATTAAATAGCCGGAGATTCACGAATTTTGAAAGAATTTTGAGATTCGTAATCAGCACCAAAAACTGCATCTAGTGATATGCTCCTTTCAATTCTACTCTAAAATAATTTGTTCAAAAACTTAATCAACGAAGTCTCGAGCAAGCTGGATAAGCCGTCTAGTCGAATGTTTATAAGCATGAAACATTCTTCGTTAACTGTATTTCTTCTGTACCATACATCTTTAACATCTAGCCGACCAAAACGAGCACTGATATCAGTACTTGTTTGTGCCAGATTCAATAATCCACACGTTCAAGAGATTTAAACGAATGCATTCCTGAAAAGTAATGGGATCTCCGACATTTTTTCAAAACTTTACCATAGAATCTAAGTTTTTTCAGTGTGATGAACTGGTAATCTCGAAAATGCACGGAAACATAAGTAATCGTCCACACTGAGTCTTGTGGCAATCTTTGTTTTTCGAAAAAAGTTCAGAAACCTAGTGAGAACCTATATTAGGTGAAATATCCCATCACATCAAATTAGAAAACTCATAACTCAGTCAGAATCGACGCAAAGTATGCGTATCAACATGTACTCTATTTCATCTGCACTATATCATGGACTCCAACAGAATTTTTAAGAGCAACACGGAATAGTTTGACTTTCGGCAAGGTTTTCTAGAAACGTTCAGAGGTAAGAGGTGATTTCTTACCAATTCTAAGCGCAGAATCGGATTCACCTTACTTAAAAACGAAATATATTCAAAAATTACGAGACAATTGTCATTTGACACTGATTCCAAATATGACACTGGTTTCGCAAAAACTTTAAATTTTTTTGACTTTTGTAGCATTCAATCTTTTCCTTTCCAAAAATGTTAAATATACAGACTAGAAACATTTTTCTCTGGATGTGTATAATATCTCACATGGGTGATATAAGCAAGAACAGTAAATCAAAAGATAATGTATCTTGATGATCGTGAAGTAAGGTATATAAGGTATATTTTAAACACGTTTTTTTCACGAACTTGACGAGTAGAATGGAAAAAGAACTATTTTCATATATTATTCGAAGTAAGCTTTAACACAAGTAGCAAGTCCATTTCGCGTTTGTTTCTATTAAGTACGCGATTATATTAACCCTTTGAGGACGGCTTTTTTTTCTGTATATTTCATCATAAATCAATCAACATTTCTATTTTCTAAAAGAACTTTATAAAAACGTGTGTTCAGAAGTTTTTTAAAGTATGATATAGCTCAAAACAAGGTACAACACATAGACTAACATTACATTCAACATACTCATAAGTTATTTTAGTTTCTTTCTTTGGAGCTGTTGTTGTATTATAGCAGACATGGTACTTTCTTCTTCTTCTTCTTTCAGGTGTATGTTCAGTTGAATAATCTTGAATGAGTGAGGGAAAGTGTCGAGCAGTGAGTCTCATTGGATTTTCTAAAGGTGGTCTTCCTTTTTTTTCGTTCTTTGGACTTCCAACAGATTCTATAATAGATCGAATCACTTCCAATCGAAAATCCGACAAGTGCATTGTTTTACCGGTCTTCAACTTGTATAAAATGAAGGCATTGTACAAAGTCCCATCGAGCAGATGGAAGAAAAACTTTTTATACCATTTTATAGTTTTTCGTATGCATTCCGAGAAGCTAATCTGTATGTCCAATTTGTCTATTGTTCCCATATTTTCATTGTATTCTTTGATGCAAATCGGTTTCATTATCGGTTCGTTAATGATGTAGTCAAGTTTGCCTGTAGGTACTATGCTTGGTTCGTGAATAGTTGAAAGCATGTGAACATCACGGCGATCTTTCCATTTCAATACTGGGAGTTTGTCGGTGTGTTTAAACACTTGTTCGTATTGCTTTAGTTGATTGATTTCAAATGATTTCCTATAAAATTCAATAATCGAAATTTCAACAAACTTCCGAATTTTATAAACTGTCTGCATTTTTCAGAAATACGATCATAAAGTATTTCATACAGTATTTTATTGGTTGAATCTTGGATGAAAGAATACTACATGAGATTTGTGTTATCGAACTCTCAAAAAATCCCGGTATCTTCTAGACTTCGAGGGTATTGTCGAAATTCCAAAAGTTCTATTTCTATTATACATTTTGAATCGGTTAAATGTATTCGATCAGATCTTACAGTGTCGCAAGCACCAGTTTTCATAAAATGTAACATTTCAAATAGAACAAGAGGAGTATACCAGTTATCGACATATAAATTATGACCTTTTGCTAAATAATTTTCCATCAATTTCATAACAAGAGATCCAGGTACACCTGGTCTCTTCTCATGATGAATAGTTGTGGTAGATCCAGTGTAAAGAAAGAAGTCTAATATATAATCAGTGTTAGAATCACATAGAATATAAAGCTTGACACCGAATCTATGCCGTTTTGAAGGAATATATTGCTTGAAACTAAGTCTACCCTTCCATAACATAAGACTCTCATCGATTACCAAGTTCTGATAAGGATTGAGACAAAGGTGAAATTTCATCTTCAAATTATCAATGATAGGCTTCACTTCGAACAACCTATCTTCAGCTGTGTAGTTATCGTTGTTATTGAAATGTATGTATCTGAGCAATGCTAAATATCTGTCTCTTGAAAAAATGTGGCTGAAAACGGGAGTCAATATTAATTCATCAGTTGACCAATAATCTTTTGTGTTTTTACATGAGTCATTAGGAGAGTTGTAGCCAAAAATACATACATTTCATCAATACTTGTATCCATCCAACGAGCAGCATGTGGTAAAGTATTTTTAGAATTTTGTAGACAATATTGATTTGATTCTGTTACAATTATATCCATCAGAGTCTGATCAAAATAGAATTGAAAAAAATCCAGTGGAACCCGAAGCTGATGATTCATCAAATACTGTGTCAAACTAGATTCGCTTGAATCAAAATGAAACAAATGAGGCTTGAAATTGCCAGTAGAACATACTGGAGAAGGTACATTTTGATTTCGTGTTATTCGACGATTACTCGCAGAAAATTGATAGAAGTTTCTTCAGGTTCATCTACTTCCATATCCTCATAATTATCTTCTTCTTCGCTGTCATCTTCAATTTTAGCCTCGCTTTCATAAGCAGAATCAGCCAAAATTTCTTGACTTTCACAGTCACTTAATATTTGATGTCGGGTAGCACTTCTAAAGAACTCTGGGACTTTAACGATTCTACATCAAACTAACTTGCCTTATTTTCTATGATGTCGGCAAAATAATCGATAGATTTTATTAATTGTAAATCAGATAATGATTGTTCTTATATACTCTAAGTGAATGTCGTAATCACGTCATATATATGTTAGCGTCCAAAGTGAAATTCAGTCCAATGTAATATTGGCCTAGGCCAAAGTCAAATTCCACTTTGAACTAGTCCAAAGTCTAATTTCACTTTCGCCTAGAGTTGGTTAAGGCCAAAGTCAAGTTTCAGTATGAACTAGTCCAAAGTAAAATGTAATAAAAAATGTCAGTCCAAT